TCATTTATTAATAAGAGATAAATTAGATTTTAAAAAATAACTATGAACATATATGATGATTATGAAAATTTAGCAGTCAGGCGTCTTTTCTACTCGTGCTTAGTTTGAGTGAAGGTCTAGTTTAAATATGTTACTGTTATTGAACAATGAAATGTTATAATAAGTTTTAACTTTTAAAATATTAATATAAGGATAAATTTGAAATAATATAATTATTTAATGTAAGAATATTCACAAATAGAATGCAATTCAAGTTGTTTATTTTCGGTCAGTTATATGTGAGAAATGAAATAGGACAAGATGATAAAGGGAAGAGGAATTAAAATAGCGTTTGGTATCAAAATGTAACTGGAAATAAATTGATTATTAATAATAAAAAATATCTTTTGGTCAAATATTAGTGTTATTGTTTTCATGTAGGAGTAATTTTTGTATACATTCTATTGTACAACTAATAAAGAATATTAGTATAATTTAATATCACACACAGAAGATCTTTTCATCTGATTTAACTTACGAAACAAAATTCAAAAAGTTTTGCTTTATTCATGTTGAAAACTTCTTATGATCCTTTCACAAAAACAAGTCTAAGTACAAAGAAATAAAGAAATATTAGCAGTTTCATTTTATTATAATCATACAAAAAGTATATAAAGAATGAGTATTTGAACTTTGCAGATCATGCAATTGTTTCTCATAAAGTTGATCATATTCATCTTCGCCATTAATAGTAAGAACAATGACTTGCAAATGAGGAAGTAGCTCGACAATTAAATAGGCAATGTTTACCAAATTTGGTTGTCACAAAACAGGAAAAAGATTGAGTTATCGTAAGCCATTTGACATGAGCATTCTGCACAAAGAAATATTATCGAATAGATAGATTAAATTTTCCTCTTTCAAATAACGTTTAGTATCATATTCTGATCTATAATGCAGCTCCAGAGTACGTAGATTAGTCGTTTGCAAAAAGACAAAGATGAGTTGAATTGAATGGTTGAGTATAATACTAAGTGATTTTATTTGATGCCAAACAACGATAGATGGTGATAAAGAAAGAAATTCATCGTTGATGTGATCATAATAGTCACTGATAAGAATCCTATTGCAACGAAACAACTTATTATTGAAGGTATGACCTTTATATGGTCATCGACTTCTTCTAAATTAAACGAAAAAAAAACTTTCTATTTATACCCATGCACAGTTTTATGTAGATAAGAATAGACACATAAATATTCATCGCTTCTTGATACTGTTACAGCTCTAATAGGGTGTATATGGGGGTGTTCAACAAAAAAAGACACTCATACCCACACCCAGCTCTTCTACTCACAACTATCGTTGGTGCTGCAGCTGTGAATGACTTATTTGTCGTAGACGACGATGTGCGACTAGCATATCGTTTAAAATTTTTCTTGTCCATTTTAATGATAATGAGGATGATAGTGATGGCCTTCTGATTCTTTTTCAATTTGCGTAAATGAATGGAAACATGGATATTTGTTGCACCCTTTATGAATCAGCAAAACAAAAACATTTCGCCTCTATCTTGGGTGTGAGTGAAAGAAATACCAACACACAGGCCTAGATGCAGATTCACACCCACACCCAATGTGAATCATTTTGTTTTTTTTGATTATTTTAGAATAATAAAAGCTAAAATGTCAAAGGAAGATGATGAATCAATTGAAATGTTATATTCAAAATCATGTCTTGATTTAAATATGGATGTGGAAACAAAGTTAGATGCATGGCGTTCATATGAACATATTCGTAAACATCATGTTTTAGAAGGTGATCAATTACATTGGTTAACTATTTCATTATATGTATCATGTAGAAGATATAAACATCTAACAACAAATCAGAATAATCAAATATCAATATCACGTTTATTAAAAAGTGCTAATCATTTAGAATTATTTGTTTTTTTTTTTTGATAAATTACATAAAGAAATCGATCAAGTGTTGAACATGTTTTTAATATATCATCAATTATATTTGAGAAATCTATCAAAAATATTTATTGAAATATTTGGTGGAAATCAATATAAATTAATTTATTCTGATTATCAATATAAAAGAACATCAAATCAAATAAATCCTATATAAAATAAATGTTCACATCAAGATTTATATTCACTTATATGGACAATATATGCATTAGCTAAAACAATTTATCCATCAACTATCAATGATCTTATTGCTTCATTTCATTTACTTATTTCTAGTTTTTTCTTTTATTTATGATTATGTCAATTTACTTTTTAAAACTCGTTGAAATTCTTTAAAATAAAAATCTATTTCATAATATGGATTTTTATTTAAAAGTCTTTGAAATAAGATCTGAAACAAATTAAATTTTCGATAGTTCGATATAGAATTAAATTAAATTAAAATATTTTATTTCGAGATTTATCAATATATTATTAAATAAAAATCATTTCAAATATTTTTTTATCGAATATATATATATATCGATAACTTAGAAAAAAAAACCTATTTTCTTGTCAATATGATTATTAATCGATAAAAACGTAAATAATCGAATATGATTAACGATTATTTCAAATCATGTTTAAAAATTTAATTGTTTAAACGATATTATAGTTATAACTATGAACAATCGATTAATAATCATTTATAAATAATATAATTATAACCAAGATTTACAAATAATGATTGTATTCATATTAGAAATTATATTTCATCATATTAAACGAGTTATTCAATCTATTCTACTTGTTTTTTCTTAATTAAACTATGGAAAATGTTTTGTTGAAACGATGATAGATTAACTGTAGAGTTTCATAAATCGAATATCTATTGTTCGAGTTGTTTATTATATTAGAAATCGATATTTGTTGTCAACAAAATCAAACTAATTTGAATTATTTATTCAAAACAAATAAATATATAATAATCGAAATAATTTAATTAAACTAAATCTAATAAATTGAATAAAAAGATATAAAAAAAAAGAAGAAAAGTGTTGTTTTTTTTGTTAAAGTTGTTGTTTAAATGATTTATGTTCAAATGATGGAAGTATAATCGATAAATTATGTATGACGTATTGTTGTTCATCGAATATGTGTCGATCAATAATCGAACAACATTTAAAAAATGATTTATTTAAACGTCTTGATAAAAAAAAAGAAAATTTTTTAAATGAATTTAATTATTTCGAAACAATTCGTGATATAAATCGTCAATATGATGAAATTGTTTTAACAAATTGTATAATTGATGAAAGAATTTTTTTAGAAAATAAATTTCAATTAAATGACTTATGTAATTCATTAAATGAAAATCAATATTCAAAATCTTCTCAAAATCTAACATCATCAACAGCAAGTCAACATATTACATCGAATGATTATCAAACAATTTCTTTTAATCAATATTTAACATCCATATATCAAGCTAATCAATTAATTAAATTATTATATTCAATTGTTCAACAACAACAAACTTTTTTATCAAATCGAACATAAAATAAATTTGTTTTTCTTTCTCAAACCTTCATCATGTTTTTTCATCGTAAGATTTTCTTAGTGGAACTTTTAACTTTATCTTTTGCTTTTGTTCCCCTTCATATATTGAAAATAAAAAGCCTTTCGACAATTGAAACTAATTCGAAACCTATTTCAATTTGTTAATGCCACCTTTTTGATCAATGTAGCAGCGACTAGCTCGAGAAGTCAACTATGATTAGTTTACTTTCGGTAATAGACAGAGAACAGTACTTAGCTAAATGTTACGTTAGAATCTATGATAAGAGAACCGTCAGATTTGTTTTACTCATATTGATTTGTATAGGAAAGAGACAATCAACCTGATTAACTATCAGATTTGAACTACATTTTAATAATAATTATGTGTTGAGAGTTGATCGATATAGAATTGATATTATAGACAAGAAACTTACAAGACAAAAAAATTCTATTAGAAATCGAGAGATAAATCCGATAGATGATTTTCGTGACGATCGATAATCAAAGATAAATAAATGAACTCGTTAAAAGATTTTTCAATTAATCGATTTTAGATTTTTATTATTTCGACTAATAAAAAATATTCTCAAATTTATATTTTAGACAGAGACAATTATCATCACTATCCTTTTTTTTTATTAACTTAAACAAATAAATATTTATTTATATTTATATCAGACATTCTTTTTGTTTTTTTAAGTATAAATTAATAAGAGAGAAAACAGAATTGGTAAATTTAGGAGATTATTTCACACATAATAGAAAAATTATTCTTTTTTACGAGAGACAAAGTAAAAACATGAATGCTTTAAAATATATTATTAACTTAAAAGAATAGTTTATATAGAATATAAGGGAAAAATAATATGGCGGTTGTTTATATTAAATTGATTATTTATTTATTTTATTGATGAGCGGGACATGCGGGACATTGAAATTTGTATTAGATAAAAATATACAATTTTTCTTTCGTACAAGATAGATAGATTTTTTTCGACCAGCGGGACATGCGGGACATTGAAATTTGTATTAGATAAAAATATATAATTTTTTTTTCTTATAAGATAGATAGATTTTATTTCGATCAGCGGGACATGCGGGACATTGAAATTTGTTTTAGATAAAAATATACAATTTTTTTTTCTTATAAGATAGATAGATTTTTTGATTAATGGGACATGCGGGACATTGAGATTTCTATTTAAAAAAAAGAATTTTTTTCTTTGGAAACAGATAAATTTTTCGATGAGCGAGGCATGCGGGGCATGAACTTTTTTTTGTTTTAATTATATTATTCTAAAATGCGTGTTATTCGATATTTAGCGAGTTGATTAATTTGTTACAGAGTAGTCGATCAGTAGGATTATAATTAAATTCAGAAGAATCGAATTTCAGATGTAAAAGATAATTTAATATTTAGTTAGGCTTTTCTCATTGTTTAATATTCGGTAGATTGTAAAAAGTAATTTTTTTTAAATACTGATCGGATTTGATTTTTTTATTTCAAAAAATAATTTTATTAAATAATTTTATTTGATGTTAGTTTAAAATATAGGAACTGGATAAAGTATTTTTGTAATGCAGAATGAATCAATTGAATTGTTTAAAAGTTTCGAGCAGTTGACTTGGCATGTGAAGGGCGATATTTTTCTAAAGCTTTATTAAATATTGGATGATACTAATCATTTTTTTTCGTATGGAATAAATAGTCATATATAATGATACATCAAGTAAAAATAGTCAATTTTTGTTTAAGATGATGGTGAATGGTGTGGGCGTAAATGATATAAAAGTAAGTTTTCAGATCGATTCATTTAAAGTGAGATAAAAAGTTTATGAAATATGTGTTGGAATTGATGAATAATTTTCTTTTCAATTTTGCACGTCAGTAGTAAGACGTATTCTCTTTCTCTTCTCTATATGTACGTATACTGCTTGTATAGTACATAACGTGTTTTATTAACAATTATTAATAAATAAATATAATAAAATACAAATGTCATATGATACTTATAATCAATATGAAAAAATGACAACTGAAGAAAAAAATCGTATTTGTGATTCCAATGGTGAAATAATAGCTGAAAAAATTCGTCAACGTAAATCAATAGACAAGTGCTGTAACAACAACCTACAACAAAATGATTTAACGATTAATAACAATATCAAAAAATCCTTCAAGAGACAACTTACCTCATCAAACTACTTTGGTGAAAACGTTTCAAATGAAGAAGACAATGATCAATTTATTTTTGTTGGTAAATATAACAAACGTAAACAAAGACGTACTGGTGAAAACAATGAAGATGAATACAATGATGACGATTTATTGATTATAGACCAAAATTCTGCTGCAACATCAAATGTAAATAATGGACGAACATTTCTAAACAGCAGAAACAAATCAAACAACAATATAAACAGAAACGAAAATACTTACACTCGAACCTCGAACCACATATATAATCGAAATGCACAGGAAGACAAAAATAAAAACAACTATTATGGCACGTCAAGTGATGCAAACAAAAAGAAAAATGATGGAGAAATGACAGAAATACAACAAATCAATTTATCTGAAGATTTAAATAAAAATATTAAAAATAAAACAAATGAAAATAGAAATTCTGTCATATCAATTTCACAACATGCACTTCTTTATGCTATTGAGAATCATCTTCTACCAATAAAAATAGAATGTCATCCGAAAATAAATCAAAATCAACAAGGAAATGAAATAATAAAAGCACTTTTCGGTTTCATTGAAAAAGATTTTCGTCAAAAAAATAAACAATATCAATATCCATTAGGTTTTGAATATTGGTATGTTAATAAAAATGGGGACCTAATCTGCTACACCAAATATACTGAACTTTTTGTTTATCTATGTGAACCTCAAAATTATCCAACATCAGTCGGTAATACAAATATAACACCTTCAAGACCACGACATTTGCCATCTCAACATTCGATTGTACTCAAGTTTGTTCCTAACTATATCACGAAAGAAGAAATTGAAACAGAAATTGAAACATCCATCAAATCAGTTTTTAATATTGAGGAAATGAAAGGATCCATGACTGAGAAATCACGTCATGTAAGACTTGAGCTTACCTCTATTGACGAATACAATTCAATTCTTAATAATGGAGGGATTACAATAAATGGACATCTAATAGAAGCACATGAATTTCTTTCTCCACCACGACTTCTAATCTGCTCAAAGTGCAATGACCCTGGACATATTCGACGCAATTGTAACTTTCAATATGATGCATGTCGCAGATGTGGTAAGGATCGTACAGTAGGTGAACATAAAGAATGTATTATTTGTTGTCATCGTTGCAATCAAAATCATCTATCTACTGATTATAAATGTCCGTTTCTTGTTGATTATCGTCGATCTCTTTTATACAAACTTAAAGATCAGCCTAATTTATTACCACCTAACATGCATATCTTCATTCCTAGCGAATGTCGAGAACGAGGTGTTAAAAATAATAAAATTTTATGCAATCCTTCAAACAAGTTAAATAATTCCTCTATCCATAAAAATGCATCACAATTTTACTTATCCAATCACGTCTGGCCAGCATTAGGCAAAGTGACAGATGGTAACATTAACTCACCTTTAAATGAACATTCATTATGGAACGAACTAAAATCAAAACAAAATGAAATTAATAAGATAAATGAAGAATTCAATATAAAAATACAACATTTACAAGCAAAATATGATGACCACATGAAAAAGATGAGCTCAATTTTAATGATTATCTCACAACAAGTTAAAGTACAAAATGAAGGTATTGAAAGATGTCACACTACAATAAATGAAGTATTACCAATATTATCATCAACTCTTGAAGTCTTTCAACGTATAATTACAAAACCTGGTATGTTTAATAACAATGAAAATAACAATACCGAAAATCAAAGTGTTCTGAATCACATCTCTCAATCACTTGAATTCATTAAAGACAGAAACGATCTTCTCACCACCAATCAACGAGTACTTAACTCTCTTGTAGAACAACAAAATGCACTGATGATCCAAGGAATAAATAGCTTAATTTCAAATAATGAACAATAAAATTTTCCGCTATTCTTCGCCGATAATAACTCCCCTTATCATAGATTCATTTTCTGGAACTTTGAAAGAAAAAAATGTCTTAATCGAAATGTCAAATGAATGGAATTCTCGTGTTTCTATCTCGCAACTATGTGATTCCTGGAAAAAAGTTCCCCCTAAATCCGTAAAACAAAATCTACTATTCTTGTTATATAATGTTGAAGGTTTAAATACTCATGTTGCCGATGTTGATATTTTATTGTCAAGTTATAACCCCCATATTTGCATACTCACCGGAGTAGGAGCAGGATTAAAGAAAAATTATACTTTTCCGAATTATCTTTCATTCTCACAAACTGGTACTAATTCTTTTGGAGGTGTAATGATTCTGTACCACCAATCCATTAAATGTAAAATAGTCGATAAGGAATCTAATTTTATTTTAATCGAAATACTGTTATCAAATAAACCATTTTATGTAGGTGGATTATATGTTCCTCCTGGATCTCTGCCCCCTTTTCAGTTACTATCTAAACATCAAAATAAGACTTATTATATATTTGGTGACCTAAATGCCAAGCACACAGAATGGGGATGTAAGAAGAATAATCCAAGTGGAGTACATCTTCAAAACTGGTTGGAAGAAACAGGTAATGAATTGATCGTACCTCATAAAGCAACATCAAAAAGGTCTGATTCAATTATCGATTTTGGTATCACGAAGAATGCATCTGGTTGGACATCTGAGGTGTTGAATGAAGGCACGTCTGATCACTATCCAATTCTTTTTCAATCCTCTATTGCAGTCGAAGAAAATGCACTTTTCAGACTAACTAATTGGAAATTATTTACATTCTTTTTAACAACTGTCTATGAATATTGGCTCTCAATAGTATATAACCTGGATGAACAAACATTTTTTAATTTATTTTCATTGTTTTTGTCATCATTATGGGATAGATGCAGCACCTACGAAAAAGTAACTAAATACCGTCCTCCTTGGCCTCCTCATCGGGTTCTTATGGCAAAATCTGTCAATAAAGCCCGTCGTAGATATAGAAGAAATCGTACTAATTCAAATTTAATGTATTTTCTCTCTCTAAAGGAATTGTTTGTTACTGAACGCAATCATATTCTACAAACAAAAGCAGAAAAAAAATTATCTTGGGTGTCAAAAGGACAAAACATATGGAAATTTGTAAAACCCTCTTTTCATGCTTTTACTCCTCCTTTTCGTGGACTCTCAGTAGGTTCCCACAAGATAACAAACTCACAAGAAATTGTTGATACAGTAGCAAACTATTTTGAGAAACATTTTCAGGAACCAAAATATGATGTAAACAATCCTGTTCATATTGAAGCAATTGAATCGTTTAAACAGATTGAATATACTCCAAATATCCCATTAGAAAAAATTACAATAAATGAAGTAATAAATGAATGGAAAAAATTTAAAGGTAAGAAATCCACAGACAGTGCTGGAACCTCTGCCTACATGTTGAAACAACTACCTCGGGAATACATTGGGATATTAACCATTTTATTTAATAAATGCGCGTTAAAAGGGAATTTTTTTGAATCTAGTAAACACGCCAAAGTTATTTGCCTATCGAAAGATGGACTTTTTCCAGAAGAAAACAAACTTAGACCCATATCTTTACTACCAAATGTCGGTAAATGGTATGAACGTATTATTCATAATAGAATACTAAAATGGTGTGAACATAAAAATATTTATGTTGATGAACAATCAGGATTTACTTCTCAAAGGAGACTACAAACAAGAATAATCTCATTAATTGAAGATATCAAATTAACAATAGCAGCTTGTAATAGACCTGCACTCGTTATATTTGTAGATTTCTTATCAGCATTTGATAGAATGTGGTACCCCGCTCTAATATCATCATTAAAAAAACTTGAAATGCCTCTACCTTTATTGAAATGGATTGCATCTTGGCTTAAAGACAGAACACTTTCCATTCATCACGGTGACGCGTTCTCTCGCAACATAAAGATGTTTGTTGGAGCTCCTCAAGGATCAATACTTGCTGCTACTCTTTTCAGACTACATATACATTTTCTGCCCTCTTTATTTATGCAGATCACAACTCACCTTTTTGCAGACGATTTGGCATTATTGTTTTTAGGATCACTAGAAAAGAAATTCTCACAAAATATAATAGATCTAGAAATAAAAGCGAAAAACGTTATGAATATGTTGGAAAAATATGCTGATGATATGTTACTACCTGTAAATGTTCCTAAAACTAAAGCACTATTAGTACATAATATAATATCACCCACTTTACCATGTATTAAATATAAAAATCAGAGAATTGAATTTGTCTCTTCTTTTCAATATCTAGGAGTCTCAATCACATGTAAACTAGGTTGGGGAATTTACATAAGTAATGTAATGAAAAATATAAGGAAAATATATAATGCAATGAAAATACTATACTATAATCTTCCTAAAAAATTTATTAATATTAGACGTAAACTTTTTCTAGCTTATGCGCTTCCCCATTTTATATGGCTGTTTCCAACCTGGTTCTATTTCACCGAAAAACAAAAAGAAAAAATACATTCATTATTCTGTTCAGGAATCAGATCGGTTTACGGACTAAGAGGATGGGATGATATTTCTACCATGATAATAAGTCAAGAAAAATCTCTATATGATTATATTTTCTCCTACTGGTCTAAATTCTCGTTCCATCTAGAAACAGCAATTGAAGCAACATCATACCAACATACTTGGATAGCCTACTTAGCAGCAAAATCACCAGATAAAGTATGGTACAGAAGTATGGGTTTCAGAAAAAATAGTTTTTTTCTTAATAGACTCTCTAAGAGAGCAGAACACAATAAAAATGATTGGATAACATTTCGCGTCAATCATAAGAGGCAACATGAGTACTTTAAAAATTCAACTCTATACCTAAATATGTTTATATATAAATACTTCTTATTTCCACCTTAGTTTCTCTAACACTAATCTATAAATTTTGTGATAATAACTGAAGCCAGAATAGATGGCGCTCATGTAACATGTTCTATATATCACTGTACCTTTACATTCGTTTCTTAAGTTAAATCTTATATATACATGTTTTTTTCTTTTTTTCGTACATGCAAACACTTGAATTGTAACTTTATATCATATTAACTATCTTTCTTTAATTTCTATCAGACTAACTTCTATTATCTCTATTAGAATTTACTAAAGTTTCAACTTAACGCATCTTGTAATTGTCTCCAACTGTCGTTATGTGAATGCATATTGTGTCTATTTTCCTTCTCTTTCATACTCTTTTCTTTACTTTTATTTATGTGAACCTGTCTATGGCACAATAAAATAAATGTAAAAAAAAAAAAAAAATTGATGAATAATTTTATGGTGCGCTAAAGAAGGAAGATGTGAGGTATTAGATTAACAAGATTAGTTCAAGTGTGAAATAAGTCAACCAAACTAATTAAATGAAAAAGAAATTTAAAAATGGCTCCAAAGTAAATTAATAGAATGACCGACGGTTGTATGACAACCCTTAATCTTCTCGCACATGTTCTCTTGTGTTATCAATGGAAAATTAGATTTTTTATTATATATCACTTCGTTTAATCCGATTTCCATTAAACAGAATGTATGGTGAACCCAGAATTTAAATTTTGGAGACATAGCTATATCTTCACGTTTTAAAACTTTAATCATTTTGGAACACATGTCATTGTTAATCGTATATTTTTCTCTTTTTTTTCATCAACATTGTTGATGTATGACTTTAATTTCGAAATAAATATTTCCATAAAGTTAAATTTGATAAGCTAAAAATGAAACAATAAATGAAATAACTTAATTAGAAAAGTTGTTATAGCCATAGGACTGAATCTTCGTTTCGTAGAAACGAACATCTAATAAGAAAATATAAAATAGACTATCTTGAGGTTGTCACACAGATTTCATAGATAAAAATATTTTCAAATGTAAAATTTTATGAATTGTTCATTTATTAATACCAATCAAAACAATTTTTATAAATACCAACTATATATAGCCTTACGAATACAATGAAAATGAAATATTCTTTTGTAAAATGAAAAAAGAATGAATATTATAAATCTTTTATAAAAATCCATTCATAATATTGTAATAATATTCAATTTGAATCAAATAGAATTATTGATGGAAAAGAAGTAAGATTTTATTTTTTATGCTCTCTCTCTTTTTTCTATCTTCAAATCTATGTTTATATTTAATTTTGTTTTCTCTTTTTTTTCTATATTTTTTTTCGCGCATTCCAAACTCAACTGAAATTCTCATGTCAACTGTGACATATACTTTTTTAATAAAGAAAAATAATTAAATTAAGAAAGGAATTTTTGTTTCTGGTTAAAGATGTTTTCTCGTTAAATGAGAATATATCGAATTAAATATCTGTATGATATTGACATTTATTTAAAATGATCGTTGAATGATATATAAGATTTAAAATTTTATCTAAAGACTTTTAAAAAAGAACTAACTTAAATTTTGACTTTTTTAAGATTATTTTTTGTTTTCTTTTATTATGAAACAAATCGTTGAATAAAATAAATATTTTCTCTCGATTAAAATATTATTTTCATTTCGAAATATTTTAAATCGAATCGAATTGATTTATGACAAGTTTTTTTTATTTTGAACATTTTCTTAACTTAAAATAATATTCGATATATATACGATTTTATTTTATCGAACATTTTTTAATAGTAATTAGTTAGATTTTCATATTTGAAATATGAAAATTAGAGTTATTTAGTTAATTAATATAATATATTATTTAAAAACGTGTCAGTTAGAGAAATAATGTTCGATTTGATAAAAAGAATAAAATAAAATTTGTTTTTTAAAAATTTAGATGATCTTGTTGAACGTTTAAATGAATGTGAATATTCATTTAATAGTCAATATGATTTAATAGAAAATCTTAATAAAATAAATCGAAAAGAAAATCCATCTCGATCATGTAAATCACATTTTGATTTATCATTAAAATTATTTTATTATTCTATTGAAAATATCTTAACTATTGGAAAAAAAACAGATTAATTTCAAATGAATTTAATTCACAACAAATTCAACAATCATTTCAATAAACGATTTTTCTTTTAAATGGATAAATAAATAAATAAATGGATTTATTCTAGTAAATTAATATTAAATAATTATTAGTATTATATGCTCATTCGGATAAATATCATGATTTTAATTGGATATTACATGTTTATTCATTAGATGAGTATTCCGTTTTAAAAATCCTACAAATTTTTTTAAAAACTTGTACACAAATAAGTAAATCAAAATCATTTATTAAATATTTATCATCAATGACTTTTTCAACAAAATCCTCATTATAGAATGATATTGAATTAAAAGGTATTTTATCATATAAAACAATATCATCAATTCAATCATCAAATAAAACAAATGTATCAAGAAAATTATTTCAATCGAATACAACAGATCAATTAGCAGTAAGATTTATTATTTGATTTATTTAACACAATATTAGACATATCAATGCATATGATTTATTTTAATTGAAAAAAAAAATTATTTCCAAATTTTCATTAACGAAAATTTTTATATTGAAAGAATTTTGTTCATAAATATTTAAAAAACATGAAATATTTAGTCCGATCTAGTAACAAGAAAAATTGGTCCCTTAGAATACTTTATTTTTCTTTTTTTCTATATTTATCATGAAAAAAAAACAATGAGAAAACATTTGATAATATATATCATCGATTTAAAAAGAATTTATTTCTTGTTCATAATCGAGCACGATGAAAATAAATTCATCTGAAATTCTATGAAATATGATAATTGTCGTCGATCTTTTCTAAAAGCTTGTCAAACAATGAAAATAATTCAATAAATAATAACCATTTTAAAGCCTGTCTATGGCGAACACTTGTTCTTTTTTCTCGAGTACACTTTTTGTAGAGAATATTAGAGAAAAATGACCATAATTCCCTATGGTGTCAATCTTTATTTTTAGACGTAGAACCCCTTGAAATTTAATTTAAGAAAGTGTTTTGAATGAAAATTTTCAATAAATAAGATTATCTACTGATATTGGAAACGTTTAATTGATTTTATCAATATTCAATGAATATTTTTTTTTTCTCAAAAATTTTCAAAATCGAATTGACAAAAAAAAAACGAAGGAAAATATCTTGTCAAAGATTTTTATTTTTATTAGTTAACTAATTAAAATAAATCTTTATTAATATAATATCAATGTAATTCTTGAAATATTTCGTTTAAAAAAAAAAATTTTTTTTTCTAAAAAGTTGAATAGAATTTTAGAAAACAAAAATTTTTTAATTTATCATTTAAATTAACTTTCATAATGAAAATAAATTATAGGAATTAATAGGATAAAAAGAAAAAAAAGCAGACGATGTTGTTGTTTTGAATAAATTGACAATAAATCGAAGTAAATCAGATGGAATTGTTGAAAATAATGATAAAAAACATTAAATTAAGTCCATATACTAAATTGTATGAATATGTCTTATCTCATCTTGATCATATTTGTTATCGTTTATATGGATCTCAATCAAATAAATTTGAAAGAATCATTTGGAATTTATTTGAAAATTATACTCAATTATTATTTTTTTCACGATTAATTCAAGTATATAAATCCGAGTGCCTAGTTCGAAATTAAAAACAGTTCGAAGTGTTTTTATTCGTTCAATTAACAAATATAATTTTGTTGAAAATGAGATTTATATTCAATTAAAGATATTTATTCTTTTTTTTTTCAAGATAAAAATTCATGTTTAACACCATCAAAGGATATATAATTGGTGATATAACTAGTTTTTATAAAGAAATATTTCCAAACATTCCGAATATAGATAAAAATTTAAAAGAAAATCAATTAATTGATCTTCCTTATAGTAATAAAATATTTGAAAATATTAAATAAGGACATGTTAACGTAAATATATCTTCAATTAATTATTCATTAAATAAAATTCAAACAAATTCCACATCGAATGTTTTATCATCATCGATTCAAGTAGGTAACCTTTTGTTCTTTTCTTTGTTTTTTTTCTTTTATTATTAATTATTTATTGTCAATTGTATAATTAAATATTTATTTAATATTATTTCTAATAAATATTGATCATGATAACTATATATTAATTATTATATTCAACAATAACAAATATATATATACAAGTTATTTAATCGACAATGAATTAAAATATAGACGATATATCGATCCTTAACAAGATTAATTCATTAAAAAACTCTAGTCAAATAAATCAAATCTTAGTTGAATTAATCGAAATTGAATTTATTTATTAGACTCTTCTCTTTTATATAATACAAAAACAAATAAGAATATTTGTCTACAATTAAATAAATACATAAGAACTATTTTTATATTTCGATCAATTTTATTTAACTTAATTGAATAATAAAATTTATTTATTTATTCAAACATTTTTTTTCTCTCATATTATGTAAATATATGAAATAAATAAATATTTAGTAAAATAGTTGTTAGTTGACGTATTCAAATAAACAACTAATTAACATATTAAATAAATTAATAAAATAATAATATTATTTATAAAATTCATTAAATCTAATTGAATTGAAATTATATAAATCATATTGAAATTCTTTTCTTTTTTTTTTTAAATAAATAAATTCTAAGTGCAAATAATATAGTACGAACGACTCGAACTTGAACTGAAGATGATAAATTTTTAACAACTATTGCAACAATATCAAAAATAAATAATTCAAATGAGAATCAAGATAATATTCTTATTAACAGAAATGAAAAAAATCTCTTTTTTGGTCAATTAACAAATAATTCTATTAAACGAACATTTTCCGATGATTCAAATTCAAATTGTTTAACAAAAAAAGTTTTACAAATTGAAAAAAGATCGACAAAAAATTGAAGAATATTGACTTTTTCTTTATTTTTTTGATTATTTTATATTTGACATTTATTAACAAATAAATATAAGAAAAAAAGAACAGTTTGCTAATTTAATATGTATGGATGGATTGTTTCAACATGAATAAGAACTTCAATCTATGGTCTATCCTAGGAAAAAAAAAACAGCTGATTTAGTTGAAGAGTAGCAAGAGGAGATCAAGGAAATGTTATTTGCCGTTTTATTCATACATATTTTGTACCTTTATTACCATCTATACATTGTCCACATGTTGGTTCAACTGGAGGAAAAGCACGTACTGATAAAACAATCGACTTTTATTATAATCAACCAAATTTTCTGGCTTGTGGTCATAAACAATAATAATAAAATAAAATCATGTTCTATTTTTTTTCAACTTAAAATTTAAATAATAAATTGAAATCATTCATAAATAATTTCGCGAAAAATAAGATCTAAAACTGATTTGGTAATTCGACTTGATAACTGTGCTTCTCTATTAACTTAACATTCAAATAACTGTTAATATATATGTATCTCTTTAAAATAACAAAAATACCCGAATCTTGAAATGTGAGGATGCTATTTGAATCTAATTTCAATATATTTATTTGTCAGTTGATCAAAATTTTCTACAAAGTGCCTGTTGAGAAATAACTATGTGGAAAATAAATGTCATAAATTCAAAAAGACTTAGATCATTATATAATCATAGAAATCACAATAGTATAAGCAATGGTCATATCATGATACAAAATAAATGAAAGTTTCAATCATCTTTAAGAAAGTATAGTTGACAGTAGTGTCTTATTAGTTTCTGTAATTTCTTTGCTTTTTCATTGTTCTGTCATGTTGTCTATGTGAATTGAAAAGAAGATTTTTATAAATACTTTGACTTATTTTTGTTTCATTGAATGTTTTATCTTTTTTGCTGAAAGTTTAAAAAGAATTTGTTGAAGTAAAACTTTCTAACAATAAAGAAAAAATGTGGTTTTTTATGGAAGTGAAGAAGTTACCATAACTAAGTTCGACCTTGCTTGAAAATCTTATCAGATAGTTTATCTATTTGTAATTCAAAAAAACAATCTTAACAAGATATATCTTCAATTTTACACAAAGAATTTGTTCTCTGAGACTTTACGAACGAGTTACGTTGCATTCTTATTTCAATTCTCACTACATGAAATAGTGAAGTGAATAAAAAATCATATTGTAGAGTGTGTTTTACTGTATCTTTTCATCATAAAGACAAATTTTACAAGTATTTATTTCACAAAGAAAATTTTAATATTCAAATAATGTGTACATGTTCTTTATTGTGTTTTCTGGATGTTTTTGTTTTTTGTTAACAAGTAAAAAGCTTCTCGTGAATTTTCAGCTACAATACTGAGTTTTAATGAGTAGTTTCGTCAAGAATAGAAAACAAGTTATAAGCATAGTTTCTTCTTTTTGCATTACAAGAATTCTTGATAGAATAATGTGAACAAATCTTTTTATGAAGTCGGTGCTAGTAGCATATCTAGAAATACGAATGATAACAAGAAAGACAAATACAACGATCAATAACAACAGCAACTAAAAATTGATACAGAAACCGTTTCGAATTATTTCGGAGCAAAACTTTTATCGTTGACCCATTGAAAAAGATCCCTAAATATGATTCACCATCAAGTGATGATAGTACAACATCAACAATTTATTAATATGAATTGAAGATTCTTATTTAAAATAAATATGTTCTAAAAACTCTGAATATCAGTCCTTAAAATTAGAATAACCATTATGAAAACAGTAATCTATTTCTTTGGAACTATCATCTACACTTGATAAATCATTACAAATAGTAAGTATCAATTCAACATCAATATCTTTATCATAAAGACTATTATTATCAATCAAGTGATATTTCGAAAAGAATTCATGTATGAAAACAAATATATGTTCCAAAATATTTTACAATAAAGCTCGTTTAGGATAATTAATTGATGTAGAGCTTCATTAAAAACTCAAACATGTACATGTCTTGTAACGCGATTTAACATCAGATGTACAATATCTTGAGGGTGTGACTTATAAAATGACAAAAAAAATGTCATTTGTGATGAATAAACCATACGTATTCTTTAATGTTGTTTGAAATTCATTGCTTTTAATTCATGAAAATAACATGATGAGAAGGATACAAAAAGAAAGATCTTGAATTCTATAAAAACGATTCAAATCGTACAAAACTAATGAAAGTAATGAAGAAATCTTAGTCTTCGAAAATAATCATCATTATACAATGAAAATGATGTCAAAGTAAAGAATGAAATTTCCTACATGGAAATTCAAACAATAACCATTGAAATTAGTGATGGGCCGTAACATCTTCGTCTATCGTAAATGACATATATGTTTAAAGCGAACCAAAGAAAGGAAGAAAAGAAAAGCATGACGTTATGATGTTGGCTGTTTTCTGTTCTCGTGACTACACGTAAATTGATATAGATATGTCCTTTCGCTCTGACGTGAACTATTTTACTCTTCCTTCGCGTAAGACGTTATAACGTAATGTTACGTTATAATTTCTTAAAGTAAACGACTATAAGTGAAGTGTGAATTTATAACGTCAAACGCGGAAATAACGTAATAATCACTTTTAACGTAAGAAATTAAGAATTTCCTTTTTCGTCGCTCAATAGCTCAATTGATACGTCAAAAAAAGAAATTGAACAAAAATTTCAGAATTTACATGAAATTTGAAACTATGAAGAAGAGTATCTTCAAATTTTTGTTGTCAAATATTTTTTAAATTATGACAAATATATTTCATGATGCTTAGTAATTTCCTATTAAGTTATATTATTTCATAGTAACACGAAATATTTAATTTGAAAGTCGTCTACAAAGTTAAGATTAAAGTTTTTAAGAATTACTTTTTACTGGCACAGAGTAAATGATTGGATTCCACACTTTACCTGAAGACATGGATCTCTAACATAAAGAATCGTTCAGTTCGAATGTAATCTTTTTTAAGAGGAAAAAACAAAGTCAGGAATATGAACACTTTGAAAAATAGCTGGTTGTAATACCTCGACTATGTAATTATGATCCCGTTAGTTCTGCATGATAGTACCTATCGATGAGTTTGGCTCCACTCAAAAAAAACTGTTGAAAATGTATTACTTCTTAAGCACTTAACCGAAGTCTTAACAAAAATACAACTAAAATATAGAAGAAACCTTTGTATTCTTTATTATTAAGAGGTACAATATGAGAAAAATATTATTCCAAGAATAGAAAATCATTGATTAATCTAGTTTTATGTTAGGTAGCAAACTCCGAATAAAATATAGTGTGCTATGCTATAATCGTTTCTTTCGTATTGTTCTCATTTTCGTTATATATCATAACGCGCAACGAACGCAAGACGTTCATTACGCCGCTTAGTATATGACTTCTCTTTCGTTCTGTCGCTTTTCTTTACGACTATTCGTTTACATTACAACTATTTTTTTCTGTTCTGTTGCGACTTACGACGATACGATAATTATCGTATCGTCGTAACCCATGTCTATACGACACGCTAGCGACACATGTGTCGACACATTTTATGACACATGTAATTTCAGTCACGTTTTGACACATGTGCGTAACGTGTGTCACGATGTGTCGACACATTTATTTCCATAGTGTCGCAGTGTGTCTGTGTCGCTCTTTCAAATCATCCTATTGGTTTATTTTTCATCCCTAGTAGCTTTATTATATTAATATAGATATATTAATGTTTAATATTTTTTAGCAGCATCCGCTGCACAATACGTTTATTTCAATTAAAAACTCTGCATTTTACAAAAAAATACCAACACTTACACAAAAAAATAAAATAAAATAAAATACATAAAAAAGATAATAAAATATACATAAAAAAATAAAATATACATAAAAAAATGAATTACACGCATAAAAATACAAAAATAAAAGCGTGTATACAATAATTATTTTATCAACGTTTTTATTATTTTATTTTATAGACGCTTTTCTTCTAATTTTTATTAATGAAAAAAATAAGAAAAACGTCTTTAGAATAAAATAAAATATTTAAAAAAATGTCTATGCAATAAAATTAAAAAAGTAGTAAAAAAATATATAAAATAATCATTGTATAGACGTTTTATCGTATTAGGTTATTGTATTTTATGATATAGATGTTTTTCTTATTATTTTATTTTATTCTATAGACCTCCTCTTATTTTTTGCTTTATTTTATAGACTTTTCTTATCATTTGTTTTATTAATAAAAAAAATTACCAGAAAGTCTATAAAATAAAGCAAAAAATAAGAGGAGGTCTATAGAATAAACTAAAATAATAAAAAAATGTGTATACAATAAAATAATTAAAAACAATCAAAACACGTGTACACAATAAAACAAAATTACAAAAAAATCGTCTATACAATAAAAAAAAGTCTATAAAAAAGACTTAACATAATAAATAAAAAATTTAAAGAATAAAACAAAAAAAACTAAAAATTTTTCTTCATTGTGTCGAGTTTGTTTAAAGATTGAAATGTTCGTATAAAGTTTAATTAATCTAAAACAAAATCGAAAAATAATTTATGTATAGGAAATATATAATAATTTCGTTTAAAAAATGTAACAAAATGGATAATAATTTATTTTAAAAAATCTAAAAAAAAATAAGGAATGAGTTTGAAAATGTACCAAAAAAATAAATAATAATTTGATTAAAAAAATTTTAAAAAAATAGATAATAAATCAATTTAAAAGATGCATAAAAGCAAATAATAAATTAATAATAAGATGTAAAAAAATAAATAATAATTTCATTTAAAAAGTCGATAGGAATGCATAATATTTTATTTTAAAAATCTAAAAAAATATATAATTTAATTTAGAATTTATTTTAAAAAAATAATAATTTAATTTAAAAAACGGACTCAAGTTAATCATAAATAAATGGATTATGAACTAAAACGAAGGGTTTAAATTACATTCCTGCACATTAGTCCAAACTATACCCTTCATTATCCAGGACACGCTACCAACACATGTGTCGACACATGCCGTACAGAAAAATCACTGTGACGACACATATCGTTACATATGAACGTATAACGCTTATTACGTCTGATGGCCTATCTCTAATTGAAATGAATTGTTTCTGTTTTCTTTTCTTTTCTTTTTTTTTTAGTCATTGAGTTACGGCAGTGAATGTAATGTAAATAGAATAAGTACATATTCATCGTCGACTGACGATAAATTGATCGTCGATGATTATCTATTAATCATTATCATAGAGTGATAGTTCATGTTTTTCAAATATCCTATATAAGGAATGATATTCTTGTATAAAATCATTCAATTCAATCGATCTATTGTATCAACAATACATATATATATTCCAATCTTAAATAGGGTATGTTGTTTCTTTTTTTTCTCGTATTGGGATAAAAAATTTATAAATAAGTTGAAAAGTTCTATTGGCCACTAGAACTTTTCAAGTTATTTTTTTCTTTCATACTTGTGTTATTATGTAGAGAAGGAGATAGATAGATACTATTTTATATCACAGCCCGTCAGATGGCTTCGTAATCTGACCCAGGAAGATTTCTTGTGCCTATGTTGGAGAAAGCAGTGAAGTACTCGGGAAGGCCGTCTGTTCGTAGGTCCCTGTCGCCGTTTACGTACGTCACACCTATGATCATGCCCTACCAGTCCGGCGTGGTCCGCTCTGCGTGTAACCATTGCGGGCTTACAGGGAGTCTTCCTGGTCGCGCGCGCGCGTACGCGAGAATCAATTGTAATGCAAATAAATTTATTCAGCAAATCGAAAAAAAAAAAAACAAATTACATTTTCTTTCGAATTTTTTCAAATGTTTCTTTATATTCCAAAACATGAGGATGATTTGAAGGTAATTTTTCTTGAGCAATTTCTACGGCTTGTTGAACATTTTTCATTGCCATATTATATTGTCGAGTAGATAAATATAATTTTGACAAATTATGATATACAACAGCTAAATCAGGATGATTTTTTGGTAGTTTATTTTCACGTATTTCTAATCCTTTTTCATAATATGTCAATGCCGTTGTATAATCTTTCATTTGACGATATGTTTCACCTAAATTTATATATGTCGTTGCACAATCCAAAGGATTACATTGAACATTTTCTTGAATATTTAATGCTTTTCGATGAAATTCAATTGCCTTCTCATAATCACCTATTAAACGATGAATATCACCAATATTACTGTATGTGATAGCTTGATTGGGATGTCTTTCTGGTAATGTTTGTTGATATATTGTGAGGCATTTTTGAAAGTAATCAAGTGACTTTGAATAATCTTTCATACTGCGATAAACTCTTCCAAACCTACTGTATGTTGAAGCAAAATCGGGATGATCTGGAGATAGAGTTTTTCTAGTGATTTCCAGATCCTTTTTTAAAAACTCAAGTGCTTTCGAGTAGTCACCCATGTTATTATACACTTGACCGATCTGGCAGTATGAAGTAGCCCATGAGGGATGATTCGAAGGCAGAGCTTTTTTTTCGTATTTCAAGTGATTTTTCGTAAAATTCAAGTGCTTTCGAGTAGTCACCCATGTTATTATACACTTGACCGATGTTGCTGTATGAAGTAGCCAAATCAGGATGATTCGAAGGCAGAGCTTTTTCTTTAATTTGAAGTGATTTTTCGTAATATTCAAGTGCTTTCGAGTATTCACCCATGTTATTATACACTTGACCGATGTTGCTGCACGAAGTAGCCAAATGCGGATGATTCGAAGGCAGAGCTTTTTCCAAGATTTTATGTGATTTTTCGTAAAATTCAAGTGCTTTCGAGTAGTCACCCATGTCGCTGTACACTCCACCGATGTTGTTGTATGAAGTAGCCAAATCTGGGTGATTCGAAGGCAGAGCTTTTTTTCCTATTTGAAGTGATTTTTCGTAAAATTCAAGTGCTTTCGAGTAGTCACCCATGTTATTATACACTTGACCGATGTTGTTGCACGAAGTAGCCAAATTGGGATGATTCGAAGGCAGAGCTTTTTCCAAGATTTTATGTGATTTTTCGTAAAATTCAAGTGCTTTCGAGTAGTCACCCATGTCG